TTATAACAATGTACCCTGTCTACAGGTCCTATAACAATGTACCCTGTGTACAGGTCCTATAATAATGTATCCTGTATACAGGTCCTATAATAATGTACCCTATATACAGGTCCTATAACAATGTACCCTGTTTACAGATCCTATAACATTATACCCTGTATACAGGTCCTATAACAATGTACCCTGTGTACAGGTCCTATAACATTGTTCCCTGTATACAGGTCCTTTTCTTTTTTAAATCAGTCTTGTCCTTCAAGAGTTATTTTCATTAAAATGGGCATAACTCTCTAAAAAAGGGGAGTTAAAGGGAAATATTTTTAGAAGCTTGCACACAATTAGATGATGCAAAATGTAGTATAGGAGATATTTAGATGATTCAAATTTATTAGGAAACTGTCTATGAATATACCTATCAGTAAGTAAATAATAATCTCACCTGCTGTTTTGAGGACAATCTTGATGGTTTCTGGATGGTTCAAAACAATATTGGCTCTGGGACCCATCCAGAACCGATAGTATCGTGGGAACTGTCTGGAGATTTTCAACCCATACTCAAGTCTCTCATGGCTTGTCTTTGGAAGCTGAAAAAAGTTACAAACATTCAATTAAATAACAATTGACCTTACCAAGTTGGATGTTGTTACACATAGTTACCTGGTTGGGTTGTCAGTACACATACTTACCTGGTTAGGATGTCAGTACACATACTTACCTGGTTAGGTTGTCAGTACACATAGTTACCTGGTTGGGTTGTCAGTACACATACTTACCTGGTTAGGTTGTCAGTACACATACTTANTGGTTAGGTTGTCAGTACATATACTTACCTGGTTAGGTTGTCAGTACACATACTTACATGGTTAGGATGTCAGTACACATACTTACATGGTTAGGTTGTCAGTACATATACTTACATGGTTAGGTTGTCAGTACATATACTTACCTGGTTGTGTTGCCAGTACACATACAAAATGTACTTACATGGTTAGGTTGTCAGTACACATACTTACATTGTTAGGTTGTCAGTACACATACTTACCGGTTAGGTTTTCAGTACACATACTTACCTAGTTGGGTTGTCAGTACACATACTTACATGGTTAGGTTGTCAGTACACATACTTACCTGGTAAGGTTGTCAGCACACATACTTACCTGGTTAGGTTGTTGGTACACATACTTACCAGGTTAGGTTGTCAGTACACATACTTGCCTGGTAAGGTTGTCAGCACACATACTTACCTGGTTAGTTTGTTGGTACACATACTTACCAGGTTGGGTTGTCAGTACACATACTTACTTGGTTGGGTTGTCAGTACATATACTTACCTGGTTAGGTTGTCAGTACACATAGTTACCTGGTTGAGTTGTCAGAACACATACTTACCTGGTTAGGTTGTTGGTACACATACTTACCAGGTTAGGTTGTCAGTACACATACTTAATTGGTTGGTTTTGTCAGTACACATACTTACCTGGTAAGGTTGTCAGCACACATACTTACCTGGTTAGGTTGTCAGTACACATACTTACCTGGTTAGGTTGTCAGTACACATACTTAATTGGTTGGTTTTGTCAGTACACATACTTACCTGGTGAGGATGTCAGTACACATTCTTACCTTGTTAGGTTGTCAGTACACATACTTACATGGTTAGGTTGTCAGTACACATACTTACCTTGTTAGGTTGTCAGTACACATACTTACCTGGTTGGGTTGTCAGTACACATACTTATCTGGTGAGGTTGTCAGAACATATACTTACCTGGTAAGGTTGTCAGTACACATACTTACCTGGTTAGGTTGTCAGTACATATACTTATCTGGTTGGGTTGTCAGTACACATACTTACCTGGTTAGGTTTTCAGTACACATACTTACACGGTTAGGTTGTCAGTACACATACTTACCTGGTTAGGTTGTCAGTACACATACTTATCTGGTTGGGTTGTCAGTACACATACTTACTTGGTTAGGTTGTCAGTACACATACTTACTTGGTTAGGTTGTCAGTACATTTACTTACTTGGTTAGGTTGTCAGTACACATACTTACATGGTTAGGTTGTCAGAACACATACTTACCTGGTTAGGTTGTCAGTACACATACTTACCTGGTTAGATTGTCAGTACACATACTTACCTGGTAAGGTTTTCAGTACACATACCTACCTGGTTAGGTTGTTCACAAATACTTACCTGGTTAGGTTGTCAGTACACATACTTACCTGGTTAGGTTGTCAGAATACATACTTACATGGATAGGTGGTCAGTACACATACTAATCGGTTAGGTTTTCAGTAGATATACTTAACTGGTTAGGCTGTCAGTACACATACTTACCTGGTTATGATGTCAGTACACATACTTACATGGTTAGGTTATCGGTACACATACTTACTTGGTTAGGTTGTCAGTACACATACTTACTTTGTTAGGTTGTCAGTACACATACTTATCTGGTTAGGTTGTCAGTACACATACTTACATGGGTAGGTTGTCAGTACACATACTTACCTGGTAAGGTTGTCAGTACACATACTTACCTGGTTAGGTTGTCAAAACACATACTTACCTGGTTAGGTTGTCGGTACACATACTTACCTGGTTAGGTTTTCAGTACACATACTGACCTGGTTAGGTTGTCAGTACATACACTTACCTGGTTAGGTTGTCGGTACACATACTTACCTGGTTAGGATGTCAGTACACATACTTACTTGGTTAGGTTGTCAGTACACATACTTACTTGGTTTGGTTGTCAGTAAACACTTACTTACCTGGTTTGGTTGTCAGTACACACTTACTTACCTGCTTGACAGTACAGTACATTACACACTTACCTGGTACTCACTTTGTTGAGATGACAGTAAAGTATACTTACCTGATGGCAATGGTAGAACATTGATATGTAGTACTTACCTGTTGTAGATGGCCGTACAGCCAGTGCGAGCCTTCAGGTCCAGGTAAATCACGGTATGTATTACTTGCGTAGCGTACGTGTAGCAGAAATCGTATGACTTCGTACAGAATATAGATGGCAACACCGAGAACAAGAGTACCAACTATATTCCCAGGTGTTAATGCCGCGCTGGATAATAGGCCGGTCTTCATCTTTAAAATACGCTTACTGCGTTTGTAAACAAGGGAGGGTTTTGTAAACAATCCTCCTCCGTTCGTCTCAGCTGTCTTATGCGACAAATCTAATCAACGGCCACAATATCCAGACGCATATCGGCAAAGCCGATACATAAATTGTTGTCAGTGATCATTAAATACATATCACGTTCTCATCTTTGTCCCAATTCTTCACACTCCGTAACCCAAAGTTCACAGGTTAAGAACTAGTTCGTTCATATAATGTTATGTGAGTAGCCTCCCTTGAAACACCATTAAATATTTTATGTTTTTAGTATGTTGTTTCATGCATAACTACAGCTAACTTCAGCTGGCGCTAGAACGGGAGATGGATATCGGGTTTACAAATACAAATACTATTTATTACAGGTATTAATTATTAACAGTCCCTGTCAGTCCCCCTATCGATCCCTATAAGTCCCCATCGGTTAGGAGTATATATATACATTCAATGGCTCAAGCACAAATCGATCAGTACAAGAAAGTAACTTGAGGGAGTAGGAATACTTTATGAAAGTATTTGTCGGTCCCCCTGTCAGTCCCCATGTCAGTCCCCCTATCGGTCAGGGGTGAAAAGTACTTGCGACAATGATAGCTCGGAGATGTAGGAATACTTTTGATAAGATGTAAATCAATAGGAATTCTTTATGAATGTATTTGGATAAAAAGTACTTGAAACATTTGTAACATGCAGATGAAAGTACTTGATAAGATGTTAGTCAAAACTATCGCACCTGACCACACTCGATATTTGTTTATCATGTGATGAAAAAGAAATGATAAGTGAAACATTCCGTATCTATACTTATATACTGTAGGACACATAGGTATAAAGTAACGTACACAACCACATGTACATTCTACTCACTTTTCACTCGACAAATGGACGACAGTAGTACTGCTCAAATGTGGCTTGAAAAAAATCAGCGATCTCTAATAATCCTCCACAAATTAGGACTACATCGTGATGCAACTCTACATAAGGAGCTTAAACTTTGTGTGGCTACACATATGAAGGGGAGCATCATTTGCTTATGAAGATGAGAGAGAAAAGGCAAATGCTTTCTGCTACTATATGGTCTCCGAGGCATAACATATAACGAACATGCATTTACGAGGTTGACTGAATATAAAAGCATATTAGATCATATTTACAGTGTACAATGTATGTCTACAATATAATTTAGTATAAATTTCCTAGGAAATAAAACTAGTAACATACATAATTNTATATTAGATAAAATTTACAGTGTATGTCTACAATATATTTTAGTATAAATTTCCTAGGAAATAAAACTAGTAACATACATAATTTCAGGTTAAGAAACATAGAATTTATATTACTAGAATTTAAAACCGATGAACCATAGACAATGAGTCTGCCGCGCTACATTTGTAATTGTGTTGTTATTTACATTTTATTCCTTGCTAGGTGCTGATAGATAACAAAAGGATGCACCGTACCACCGGAACAAAACCCATCCCCAATCATCGGCTTCACTCCAAGATGAATTTGATCAATATATAGCAAGTCAAAATTTCCAGGGAATTAGACGCTCTTGTATACACAGTCATGGTTCAAGTAATTAATATAGGTCGTTTTTTGTTTGTTTTGTTTTGGATATAAGCTGCAAGTTTCTAACGTTAGAACATTTCCAATGATTGATGTAGCTCTTTCCTTTCTTATAAAGGTATACAGCTCATGAGACGAGTTTGATTAATACTTAGCCATTCATATTATTTGATAGAGTTGTCTCCATTTCAGTACAAATCTGTATTGTAAAGAGCATAGCGTCTCGTTATATCGATGTTCCGTTAGCCTTCTCATTTAAATATGTATCAAAAACGTTTGATTAAATCTGTCATAAATTCATACGGTGATGTGATATTAACAGATATATCGTACTATGCTACAAATCTATGTTTCATCAGTATTTTTAGGTCACCTGAGCTTTGCTCAAGTGACCTATTCTAATCGCTTTCCGTCCGTCGGCGTCCGTCGTGCGTAAATTTTTTACATTTTCAACTTCTTCTCAAGAAACAGTGGATGGATTTTTTTCAAATTTGTTCGAATCATCCTTGGAAGGTGAGGCTATAAAATTGTAAAATTGGGATTCCTAACCCAAAAATATTCTTCTCCAGACTCAGAGGTACTACAGTCATTTTCTCTGCATGGAAAGAAAAATCATCAGGGGCTTTATTTAAATTGTAAATTCAGGACCCCCGAGCTATCCGTTCTCCTTGGGGAGGGGGTGAAATTTACTATATATAGTAAATATATATAGGGAAATAACACTTTTGGGTATATTTTATCCATTTTCAGCAGAAAATTACTCAAACTTAGTAAGGATCATCTTTGGTGGATGAGGGTATAACATTGTAAAATTGGGATTCCTGCCCCATCCCCAGGGGCTAGGGCGGGGCCCCAAAGGGAACATTTACCAATATTTTCGAATTCTTATCCTTTGATCACATGACAAGTATTGTATTTCACTTAGTTTACATGCTGATTTCCACATCACATCTAAACAATAAAATAAAGCTACCAGTACCTATGATATAACTCAGGTGACCGCTAAGGCCCTTGGGCCTCTTGTATTTGGTTGTCACGAGGTCGCCATCTGTAGATCCGTCATATTTCATAAACTCGTTAGAGCCATAAAGAAACGTTACACAGAGTTAAGAAACGAAACTCTTTTTTTTCATAGATAGTGTAGTGGAAGTAATATACGGTAAAGCTCGTAATCACATGAACAGGTTGACGAGACATCGATACTATTGTAAAGTAGAAGTCATTTTTTCAACGTGTAATGAGTCGGTGCTGGTTTGTATATCTGAATGTAGAGAGAATTGACTAAGAACAAACGATTTTGTTTTCGCTAATTTTTTTATTAATAGTCAATAACGTTCATATTAAAAAATAAAACTCCTCCAATTACAACACTGTAACGTAAGTGAAATGAATACCCAACAATAGCATATAGCAGTGTTATTTAAAAACATATAATCTAATAGTTTTACCAAACTATATAGTATATGGTACATGGGATGTCTCTCATACTTGTCGAATTTCACTTGCTGTCTCTCATACTTTTCGGACTTTAAATGATGTCTCTCATACCTCAAATTTAGTTCTACAACTTAAAACATTGTAATTTGATGCTTATTGAAACTTTGAAACTTATTTTGTTTTCCTTTTGACTTTTAAATTTCAAAATACTTTTCTGTTTTATCTGAAAACAAAATAAATTATTATTTTTTATTTAGTTTTACCAGGGACAGTATGCGTCCCTGGTTTTACAACTTAAATTTAGTTTTGATTCTTTTTGAAACCTTCTTATATTTCGCTTTTTTTTCTTTCAAATTGAAATTCAACAATATATAGTATGTAATCAACATGGTCTTTACTTTTTACAACTAAATTATAACAACATCTAATCACCATGTAACCTATATACATATGAACATAGTTTTACAATATATTTTTTTTCCTTTGATGACGACTTCGGTCTGATACCACATTTGAATAAATATTTGTAAAACTACATTTCTGTTTCATTTTTAATGCCAACCAATTGTAGAAATCATATATTGACTAAACGCAAGCGTATCATATCGATTGTGCAAGACCCAACGTTTGTCATCGAAGGCACACAGACCCAACTTGTTGACGGCATAATTGTACATGTGCAGTTGGTGTTTATCGCTTCTAATCGAATTCATTTTACACATTTTAATTGTGTTTTCGAATAAACGTCCCTATACGTTTCATGTCTTAAATCGCATCTAATGGTCGTCTTTGCAATGCCTTTAGCTACATGTTTTTCTTTCATATCGTTTCGTAGAACGGTAAGATTTTCCGTTTCTATCCGTGTTTGCACGGCGTAGACGTATGAGTACATTTTAGCGCAGAGTCCTACAAACTCTGCAATGGGTTCGCTTCCCGTTTCGTCTTTGAAATACCCGGTTATCTTTTTTTTTGTATCGTGACAACGATGATCGACCGGATAATTGGACAGATCGAACAGGTGTCTGTCCCGATACGTGTCGTCGTAGACGTCTGGACATTGGACGTGGTACAATAGACTGTCCGTGTCCGTCATAGACGTCTGAGCATTGAACGTGGTACAAAAGACTGTCTGTGTCCGTCATAGACGTCTGGACATTGGACGTGGTACAATAGACTGTCCGTGTCCGTCATAGACGTCTGGACATTGGACGTGGTACAATAGACTGTCCGTGTCCGTCATAGACGTCTGGACATTGGACGTGGTACAATAGACTGTCCGTGTCCGTCATAGACGTCTG